AAGTTAGTTGAACTGGCCCAACTGCATGCTTTCAGGAGGCCTGCCTGTTTTGAGACCCATGTACCCACACCTCCTTTTTGGCATCAATGCGAGGGTTTCCAGGAGTGCTTAAAGGAACAGCCGAAAAAAAAATCGAGGGTTCAAGGAATCGGGATCCGTCTCTCCCAAGGTCGGCTTTCAGGGGCAACTGGGCAGATGTTTCATTTCAGGGCACAGGGAACTTTATCTTGACATCTGGACGGGAGACAGCTATAACAGCGGTATGAGAGGCTCGTTCATAAAACGGCAAATTGGCGCCAAGCTTCGGACATCCAGTAAGATTGCCCAAAGAGCAACCAACAATGGTTGACATGTGGCCGAGTTGGCCATAAGATCTTGAGGACTTCAGGCTCGAACAAGGCGTTGATTTGCTGATTGCCTGGATTAACTGTGCCAGGAGCCCTACCCACAAATCAGGACAGCTAGCCGCAAAACAGCATGCAAAGGGGCAAGCGTGCGATCAAACAGCACCCCCAGGCAACCGACCCCTGAACCTTTCAGGATCCCAAACAACCGCAACCCCACCCCTCAGACATGCAAAAGACAGGCAAACCAACGCAGTTGAACCAAAATGCAAATGGACCAACACAGGCAAAGCAATTGAAACAAAGCGGTTGGCTACGCCCCCCCCCTCCCCCCCCCCCAAAAAAAAAAAGAAAGACAAAGAAAGAAAAACAGTTGGAACCATCAGGGAATTGAACTGAAAAACTGGATATGAGCCAAAATAGGGAGGCCCTCCAACATCGTGGTGTTCCCTTTGAACCGTTAAAAAGAAGAAAAACAAGAAAAAAACAAACGGGGTAGCCCCGAAAACATGAAAACACAACAAAACAACGCCTCCACCCCCCCCCCCAAAAAAAAAGAGAGTAAAAAACAAAAAACACAAAGTTGAGACCCTTTGCCTGGCTCACCCTTGGCGGCGCAGGATGGGGTGCGATAGGCCTTGCCATCCTGGACACGGCCAGGTCCCGGGATCCCGTCAAGACATACCTGAAATTCAGGTGAGTGGACTGGCCAAGAGTCCAAACCTTTCTTGGCCAAAAAGAGAACCTTTTTCTTTGCCAGTTGAATGCTCTTCCAAATAGTTTTTGAAGTCCATGAGCTCGAGTGAGGAACAGGGTACCCCCACAGAAGCACTCACTTTTGGCTGGCTGAAACGGACTCAGGCCATCCGGCCTTGCACAAAGGAACGCTTTTAAACCATTGAGTTCCAAAAGGGCAAATGTCGGATTCCGGGAGGCGATCCGTCCACAGAAAATTGGCCCCTCTCAAAGAAACCCGTGGCAAAAGGTTTTTGGTGATCTCGCTTCTTTGTTTTTTCGACGCCCCCCCCCCCCCCAAAAAAAAGAAGAAAAAAAAAGAAAAGAAACGGGGGAGTGGGGTCTCAACAAACAGCTGGTCTCCAAAGACCTGGCGTTGTCCAAACCGGGTCCCCAAAGACTGGCAAAGCGTACAACGCTTGGCCGACGGACGACTCGTCTTGTGTCTCGATCCAAGATTACCCACCTTCCCTAGGTCCTTCACTCAGCTGTTTGTCCATTGAGATGTGAACTGTTTGGCACCCAGTTGTTTCATCTCTCAGGACGGGAGAATCAAAGGAGAATCCTTGCAATTCTTGCAATTCTTGACAAACTGGTCGCCCAAACGGGAAACACTGGAATGCAAGTGCTGCTGGTGGTTTCTCAGAAGAACAATGGGTGAAACAAATGGACAGTCAACCTTCGGCATTTTTTGAGGTTTTTAGCATGAAGGGACAAACCCATGCCTCCTTCCGCCCCACCCCATCACCCCAGCCGTTCAGCTAAGCGTCCTCCATCACTAGCAGGTGCGTGCCCCACCTCACTAGCAAAGGCAGCTGCGCAAAAGGTGAGCACCTGCCTGTCGGGCCCTCAAGGCTGAAAAGTACCCTCCCCTGCAAACAGAGGGTCCCCAATAGGAGGTTCCGCCAGCATTGAGCGTGTTTCAGGTTCCACGTCAATCTGCAGGAATGCAAGCCATGACTACATCTAAAGGCACATGAGTATGCGTCAACAAGTGGTTATGTCTTTGGGTTTTTGCTTTAGAACAAACCCAAAGCCGTGCTCTCAAGCTCCAAAAGTCGAAGCTGAGCCACTGGTAAGGCTTGATCACCTTGTCGATGACCGATGGCGCGAGGTCCGAAGGGCACTGGCAAAGTGCCAAAGGCGAAACGTGTGTAACGATGAACCAGCCCAAAAATTGGTTGGGACCTTGAGTCTCCACCCTAAGCCGGAAATTTGTTGACCTCCACTTTGTGCTTGGATCAAATTCGCCTCCCGCAAAACGAACGGGTGGTTTAGAGGCCGGTGGTTTGGTTGGTAGGTGGTGTCCCATTTTCCCTTCTTCAAGAACCGGGGGTTCAAATGCTTGATATATGGGTCAACCAAACAGCTTGGGGTCGGTAAAAAGCAGTTGCCAGCATCACACTTGCTTTTTTGCGCGAGTTGTACGTTAACCTCTAAGTCGTCCGAAAAAAAGAAGCGTATCTCGCCAAAAGTATGTGGCTCAACTTCCTACAGCCAAATCCCTCCCTCCCAATTGGCACGGGGATGCACCCCTGATGCGATGCAATGTTGTCCTCCCACCTACGACTGCAAGTGACGCGTTTTACTCGAAAGTTTTTCAACTACAGTAGGCGCTCTGCTTTGCTTCTGGCCATGCGTGTCCTTGATCAACTTCTAGTCCGTTGACAAAGGGTGGTCCGTGCCGGCCCGCGCCCCCATGTCAGCTGCCAAGATAGTTCACCAAAAAAGGAAAACCGATCCGGGGGAAGCAGCGCATGCAAACATCACATGACACATTTGCCTGTTCCCCTTCATATTATTTGTCACATATTTGCCCGTTCACCTTCATATTGAGATTTATGCAGGTTCTAAGATTGGGGGAATGCTGTCAACAAGGATGACCAGAAACGAGCCTCCTTCACCTGAAAGGTTGTTTTGCCCCCGAACCAAAGCTCACTCAACGCACATGTAAGCTACAGGGAAACCAAAGACAAACCCGCCTGTGTTGGCTTCTTCTTTTGGCTGGATTGCTGGCTTGGTTGCGCTGCCTCATCTAAACAAAACTCGCCTTTGTTTTGCCAGTGCCGTGCCGCACTGTTGCAGGACCAAGCAGTTCGAACAATCAGCCTAGCTGCGCACATAACCATGTTTGAACATTCTAGCCTTAGCCTCCAAAAACATCGCAACAATGCCTCTTCGCAGAGCCAGCTGGAGCAAAGGGGTACCCACTATGAGCCACATCACAACGGAAGGAAGGAAGGAAGGAAGGAAGGAAGGAAGGAAGGAAGGAAGGAAAAAAGGAAGGAAGGAAGGAAGGAAGGAAGGAAGGAAGGAAGGAAGGAAGGAAGGAAGGAAGGAAGGAAGGAAGGAAGGAAGGAAGGAAAAAAGGAAGGAAGGAAGGAAGGAAGGAAGGAAGGAAGGAAGGAAGGAAGGACGGAAGGAAGGAAGGAAGGAAGGAAGGAAGGAAGGAAGGAAGGAAGGAAGGAAGGAAGGAAGGAAGGAAGGAAGGAAGCCGCCTCGAACCAATGAGCCGCCAATCAACATCATTCGCGGCAAAAGAACTTCCCAAAGGATATGGCCTCAATACAAGACTCAGCCGGCCTGCTTCCAGCCATTCCTGGTGAGAGCCCCATGAATTCGAAGGCTCGGGTCGGCTCGGTTCCCGAAGAAACGGACCCCCAAGGCTCGAGACTTGACAACCCGAGACTCGGCAACTGGGCACGGCCAACTCAAAACTCGTTCCGCTTTGCGACTTGCTCTAATTGTTGCAAGACGCATTGAGTCGAGCATGGGGCGCTCAAACTCCCTCTATAGATATGACAATTTGCCCTGCTTTCTCCAAGTTCAGGGTTTGGCTTCAGCCATGAAACTAAGCCAAACGATCAGACATGGTGGTTTCCCGTTGTCCCCTGCAACGTGCGCAGTTTGGCCAAAACTTCTCGGCCATGAAAGTGAAGGGGAAACGGAGCCTCTGGTTCATCGAGAAATATCCCCCAGTTTTTTCAGTTTTCCGGAGACCCCGGAGCCAAGCATTTGAAGCTAGGGCTGTTGACAGCCTCCCAAACATAAAATCCGCCCCTCGCAGGAGGAAACATCATTTCGGCAACCCGTAATGGCTTCCCGGATGCTACGCACATTATGATTGTCCTCCAGCGCCAACCCGTTTATTAGAACCCGAGCAGGGCCCTCTGAACAATGAAACTTGCTTCACACCCCTTCAAACAGTCGACCAAGGGTTCCCGAAGACCCGAAAGCTGCGATGAACAACAATGCATTTCAATTCCAGCTCAGCTGAAGCTTTGTCTATTTAATTCCCGGATGCGTCCTTAATCCCGAGCAACCACACTTCTCCGCGCCACCTTCTCTGAGGAATATCTGAGGTGCTTTGCCGGGGTTAAGTTACTTTGCGAACCCGAAACACTTACAGATGTACCTATTCCCTTTGGGTTTCCTTTTGAGACAAGCAAACTTTGGCCATTTAGCACCCACACGAATTCTATGAGAAACATCAGCGCAGGTACTCTAGAATTATTTGTTGCCGGAGGTGCGATTCACCCCGAAACCCTAGACAGCCACTTGCGGTACAAAGGAAACTATATCTTGACCCCCTTCCTGAGTGGAAGAAAGTCCACACTTCCTTTTTGCCACTAAAATGGTCCAGCCCCAAAACTCGTCTCAAGCCCAGGAACTCAGGAAGTGAGTTGAGCCAAGTTGTTCTCATGCCCTCAGGATCCCCGAGGGCTCTAAATTGATCCCAGGCGGCGGCATGTTATTCCACTTCAGCACCACGTCGTCTGTGCACCGCTTGCCGTCCTTAGAAGACAACATCGGGTCCAATGGCCCAGCGGTCCAGCGATCCCCCCCAGTTTTGTGGAAGGGTGTGTGCACCACTTTCCGTTTCTTTGGTTTGTTTGCTGGGGAAGTTGAGGCCATGGGTTGGGGTGGGGGAGGGTTCATCTGGGTTGCCCGATGCGCTGCTGCCACAGCTCACGTCTGCGTCAACGAACCGGCATCATAAGAAGTCCGCTGGCTGGCGGGCATTTTGTTGGCGAAGGACGCAGACGCCTGTGCTCAGTTCTGTTCTCGTCTGCACAAGTCTCGCAGCTCCGAGCTGGAGGGCGGCATTCTTCGATGCCCCCTGCAAAAATGACACCTGGGTTGGGTAATTACACCCTTGCCGGGTTTGGTATTTAGCAGCAATGAACTGGCATGAATTGGCCAGTTTCTCAGATCTTGAACTCCCCGCAGGCTTTCTCGCTCTCCTCCCACAGCATCCGGCGAGACTCCACCTGGCACGGCGAGAATTTCTCATGGAAGCGTGCCCCAGGCAAGTAGACCACAGCCTCATACTGTGGTAGGGACGCATGGGGGTTCAACTGATGGCCTCCCTTAGGCGGCAGACAATGTCGGCGAGCCCCGGAGGGTTGAAACATAGCGGGAGCTGCGGCCAATCAAACTCCCCAAGCAAGCTGAAACCTGGAGGCGGCCAAAAAAAACAAGTAAACAAGTACCTGGGGGCAACGAAGTGATGTCCCAAAAGCAGCCCAGAAATAACAACTAGGAACATGCCTCCACATGTTCGGTTATGCCCCAATCGTAAGGGAGGAACTTCATGACGAAAGGGCAAACGCCCAGCTTGATTCAGACATTTAAGATGCTTGAAAGGACTCTGAAGTAAAATCCAGGTTAGCTTGCTCTTATCTGGAGGTATGAAACTTAGGGCCTAATGTCCCCCTTTGGTGAATCTCAAGACCTGGGCTTCTATCCCCAAACCAAACTCAAGTAGGGCTGCGTGAGAAGTGTACCCCACAGGAACACGGCCCCGAAAAACGTGAGAAAGAGAGCTGGGACCAAACCAAAGCGACCCACCCGAGCTAGGTTTGGGCCAAGCGTAAAGGGGACCAGTGCTTCAATTAATCCAAAGCCTGCAACAAGAACCTGCCAGTCCTTGATACTTGACCTCTCACTTGCCAAAGCGCCTGGAAATGAAAGCTGAACCTTGTGGGACCTTTACCAAGATGGGGTCATGGGCAGATGCAAAGGATCGCCTTTGGGCAAGTGAGACCTTCATGGCTTTCGCTTCCACCAACACCTCGGCCTTGGTGCAGCGAGGTTCCAGCTGGAACTTCTGCGGAATGCCCTTCATGCGCATGGTGCCCCCGGGCTCATAGAAGTCCCCCGACTCCACTCCTGGCTGGGGATATCTGCGATGCAGGTTGAGAGAGCGGCGAGCAGAAAAAGCGACAGCTGATGGACAGCTGGCTTTTGTCAAGGGCTCCAGCTTGACCAACTGATGTTGAGTCGGAGTCAACAGCGCTCTGGTCGAGCACGCTACTTTGGAAGGGATCTTGCTCTCTTGGGGGATCTCATTTCTCAATGCCCCAAAAAAACGCGTGGATGTTCGGACCAAAGCAACATCTGAGAACCCCACCAGGCCGCCCGCTTCTGTTTGGTCCAGCCTGCTGTGCAGCAGCAAAGCAGCGGCATGGTGCCGTCCTCCGCACTTTGCGCCCAACGCATGATCCAGGTCTCCTTGCACGCGGCAGGTTGAAGATGGAGGCTACGTTCGCCCAAACCACAAAACGCGCAACTGCATTGAGCAGTCAATAAGCGCGGGGCTATGAAACACCATCTCACCAAGATGGCTTCCACGATGCCCAGAGAGCAACCCCAAACAACTTCATGGGATAACACCACCCCGCCGGGTGGACAATTGCGCCTTCGGGCTCGGAGAGCTCAAGCGAACTGTCTGACGGCCCTCACTTGGGGGGGGGGAGCGGTGCTTGCGCAGGTTGCGCAGGAGCGTTGCGACGCCAGGGTGAAAATTCGAATTGTGAATTCCAAAAGTCTAAAAGTTGAACGAGTCCTTACTAGAGACAGCATGCGCACTGTAGCAGTCCGCATCCGGCTGGCCGAGAATCGAAAAGTCCGATGCAAATACGAAAACACTGCAGTGACAGTTTAGGACATGTCGCGTATTGCCTTTGAAAGAATCGGAAAAAAGCGCAATGGTTGATGCAACTCGACAAGGACATGTCGAAGAATTGATACAACAAGTGAGTGCCATCTGCAATCACAATCACTTACCATCGTGCAGATTTAACATGGAACTCAATAACAAATATGCAACAAGAGCAATGACAATAACAGCAAACACAAACAACAATACACCAATAGATTGCGTAATAACGTACAACATGATATAGCTCATGTTAACTCAATTCCCGTTAATGGACATAACGGACAAGGGTTCTTCAATGGTAGTGCTTCTGGTAATTCGAGTCGACCATGTGGCCAACGTACAGAAACATCTTTACTTGAAGTAAATGGGAGACATCCATTGAGATCTCAACCTGTAACAGGTTCTTATCGTTCTCAAGATGATCCGTGGATCATCAATAACGTACAGTAATAGTTCCTGAAGAGAAGGAACTTGAAGATAAACCTACGTCAGCACTAGTGTTGCAGGCGTCAGAGATCCTTAATGAAATTAACACCACCAATCAAAAGGATAAGATTATCACAAATGATAATCATACAAATCTCAATGGAACCTCTGAGATTAAAGGGAAGATGGAAATTGATAAGTCGTTTACTGCCAAACTCAAGAAAACCAGTTCATAGAGCCCCTGTTTGTGGATACGAGCACATTGCTTTTCACCTTGTTGCAGGCTTCGCTCCTAAGCTGTCGCCTTCATTTTGCAGGGTTTTAGCTCCTATAGTCCACCTGAATACATGTCCGTTTTCGGCGGAGGATGTTGGGGACCCCTCGGATCCCTCAAGTTGATTTGCGGGGAGATACAAATTTGGCCATGGGTCAAACTCCTGTGCCCCCAGTGAACATCCCAATCCCCACTAAAATAGACTGAAATGGCTGTGGCTCAAAAAACTGGTACCAAAATGGAACCCTGGCAAGTGGAAACATGGACCAACACCCGCGTAACCCCTCCTGTTTAATTTTGAGCCACAGCCAAATGGGTGGTGCACCTACCCCAAAATGGGATCCCATTGGTTTTGACCCACAGCATTTGATCAGCTCCAGCCCGCCATTTCAGAAGCGCGTCCGACATGCCGCCCTCAGAGTGCGTGGTCACCTCGATTCGATGCGACGGCAAACCGACGAACTAGGGCTGACGGCTTGGGGCTGGTTTACTTGCACCACTTCTCTTAAAGTGCTTGTATTTTGAGGCGTTTTCTGTTGAGTTGTCTTTTCACCCGTCTGCATTTCGTTGGTGTCCAACCCTGTGACACGGCCTGTTCGTAAGGGTGACGTCTGGGGCTCAAGGTTGGAAAGCGCCCAGCCTTACTGCAAGCCTCTGTGCCTCTTTGCATGTTGCACGGCCCACCACCCAAAAAAAAAATCCCAGCCTCGGGTACGTAGAATGACTCCGTTAAAATGATCTGAGAAACGCATGAGTGAACTGGAGAGGGCGGATCCAAAGCTGGCACCGCTGGACAGAAATGACGCTACCTTTTAAAACCAGAGTCCTCGTCGCAGGATTCCCCCCAAATGCCCAAATGACCCCTTCTTTACCAACTGGTGGTGGCATTGTGCCAAACACACAGTAGAAACCCAGATCAAACTGAATGCCACATAGAGGGGGTGGAAAAAACCAAACACAACCATGCCCCATTGGCTCTTTCGGGGAAACAGTCTTGGCTACTTAGCACTTAGCACGGCGAAGCAAGGGAAACCAACTGATTCCATGGGCCGAAAGGAAGCCACGGGGACTGCGGAAGTTTCACTCGGCTGAAATCACAAGACATGTGTCCGTGAACGTGCCAAGGGGTAAAATCTTTGAAACCAAATTCGATTGGAGAAGAGGAGGTTGTCACCCGGGCTTGCGTGGGAGAAGTTGCATGTTCTCCCTTTTTCACCATGCAACTACCTGTGGAGGGACTCAATGAGACAGGATGGCCATGGGACCAGGAAGCCAAGGTTCACACCAGGACAACTGCTATTGGCTGCCTCTATTGGAAGCCTGCCGGTCCTGTGTCGTCAACAAGCCAACAAAAGCGACAGAAGTGACCTAATCAATCAAGCGGGTGGATTTTTTGGTCGCAATCTTTTTTGGGGTCATGCTCCGGGAAATAGAGCTTTCCATACTAACAAATTCTTATTCATTTCCGCACCCGAGCAACCCCTGCGTGCATTGCAGTGCAAATGGCCAAGCCCCACAACTAGCATCCAGCTGGAAAAGCAGCCCATTCAATGCAAAACATTAAAAAAACAAAAAAAAAGTTGCAGGAGATCCCACAGCTCAGCTGCGCAAAGGACCACTAAATCCGAGGGTTGATTTTGATCGGGAGTGCCCTTCTTCGTCGTTTGTTGGGGTTCATCATCACACGGTTGGAGTCCTGGAACACCCCGATTTCATAGTCTGGGTTCGCTATGGACCTTGAACCAGAGATCTCCTACGTGTCTCCTACGTGTCGCCTATGGGTTTCTCCAACTACGAGTGGTCGGTTTCTCGGGTTTCCTGGTTTCCCTCTCGAAACTCTCGAAAGGAACAAGGGGTCCGCCATCTGGAGAAACTCTAGACCAACAAAAACAGCCGCGAGATATTCCAGCCCCGAGTCATCCCAAGTCCGTGCCGTGCCTGAAGGTTTGTCGCTGCCAAGCCAGGGGCAGCGGCCAAAGCCTTCACCTGCCGGCATCGGACATCGGCTCGAGTCGGGACCACCGGTGGTTCACCTGTCCACTAACATGGAACCTGACTGAGTCCTGGAAGACTCGCGTCCTTTGAAAAGGACCCTGAAATAGCACGACGTGAACAGGAGGATCCTGATTTTGGGGAGGTTCAACTTTTGGGGGCCAAAAGACTAGTGGTTGCCACGGGAAAACCCACCCGTTTTCAGGTCGATTCGCGTTCAGAAGTCTGGCTTTCGGACTGAGCTTTTTCTGATCCAACCCCCAAAAACTGGCACTACGTGAAAGGGATCCACTTGGGAACCGCCAACCAAAGAGGGATGCTCCAAGAATCAAGGCCGAGCCCAGTTGTCTTCAAGGGGTGTGTGCACCCAGCCCATGTTTTGTTGGTGGGCTGGTGGGCAATTCGGATCTGAAGCCGCGCTAGATCCTTGGCTGGCTAGAGCAAATTAGAACAACAATGCTGTGTTTTGGCCAACTTGTGAATGGGCGAAAAATCCATTTCGCTCCACCTAAGAAGCCCTGGTTTCTGATGCTTCCCCTGATGCCAACAACCGTGGCTTCACCCACGGCTTCATGTCGTGCGAAGCGGATCTATCCCGGGGACCTCGAAGCTGGGCGCGACTCGCCTTGGAGTTGGCGGCCCTCAGCTTCTCATCCAGCCTGGGTCCATCGCCCCCGCTCCGAGCGCGGGAAAGACGGCTCCGGGGCTCCCTATCTTCAGGGAAATTTTGAAAGGCGATGTTCAAACCAGAACTGGCACCTCCAGATTTGAGAGGTTAGATTTTTTGGGTACCAACTTTTTTCTGCAGTCTATTTTAGTAGGGGAACCCTCCCCCCAAAAAAGGGGGAGAAAGGGCACCTAGCTGGGGGACCTAGCCAAGGAGCACATAGGGAACCCATGTGGAGGCGGTTTTGCAGTACTGGGAGTAGCTTTGGTGGGGGGGAGTAGGCGCCCTGAAAAACTACAGCCAAATACACAAAAACAACTGAGCTGGAATTAGGACCCCAGCAAAAAAGTTTGCCTGGTTAGTGGAAAACAAAGGGACCCCAAAAAACGAAGGAAAACCACATCTGGGGAAGCAGAGTTCTAATCGACATCCCGGAAGCTGGCAAAGTGAACCCAAGGCTTGACAACAACTGAGGCAGTGCAGAACATCTTTGGAACAGTTCAAACCTAGTAAAATAGTGCCATGGAGGCAATCAACAAGCAAACAGAGGTGTCCTTTCTTAGCTCAACATACTTGTGTTACCGGGGTTCCAACACGGGAGGCATCCCTTAATTGTCTTCGACCACGCATTTTGAAGGGTCCCAGTTCAGTATTTCTCTTTCCTCCAATTACATCTGATGCTTTGGAAAACCGAGACCGGATAGAATTCCCTTGGCCTCCCTCTCCGTAGCCCGACTCCATACTCAAAGGCTTAGGAAGGCCACTGGGCCAACTCATCCCACACCTCCGGGCGCCCAGAGCCCTGGTTGTTTGCTCGGGGTGTCCAATGTCATATTTGGCATTTGGACATTTGCACGGTGAACACGGAAATTGAGAAAGAAGCGCGGGGTTCCCCACGCGCGAAAACGGGAAAAAGTCAAAAACCGTCCAGGAGAGTTCTCAAAGCTCTGCAAAGCCTGGCCAGGGCTGGATTGCCGCCAGGTGGCGCCAGCGTAAACACCACGTTGGCCAGCTTTGTCTGCTGGTACCTGAGCAAGCCAACAAAACGCGGCGAAGGAGCGCCAATGGACGCACCAGGCACCACACAGAACAAAAACAATAAGACACCAAGAGACCAAAAACGGTAGACCAAATGGTAGACCAACGGTACCACCAAAGTATGGCAAATCAGGGTTGAACATTGGGAACCGAGCCATCGATTGGTGAGCTACGGCATCCCAAGTATTGCTCAAGACTTGGCTCACATCTGAAGGACACAGAAAAACATATTCCTGATTTTGTTACATGTTTAGCCTGCAATGGAAACATAGTTCTGGAGGAGACCCCCAATGAGTAAACGAGCCTTACTGTGAGGTGAGCTCACCATACTGTGGATGGACGAAATCCTGCACCACCTAAGAACCCCTGGAATGATGATTCCCTTGCAAATGCCAACAAACAAGGGTTTCCCGTGGTTTTGAAGTGGTGCAGGATGTTGTCCACCCACAGTAGGTCAAGCCAATCCACCAAATCCCCCCCCCCCCCCGCGCCCGCGCCCGATCTATCCCCCGCTTTGCTTTCGCCAGAGGACCGCTGCCATCGGGCGCCCCCGGCGAGCATGGAGGAGCCATTGCCCCCGAGGTTGCCACCATTCTGGCCCAAGTACTTTGCCTCAAAGACTCTGGCTCCAAGTCACCCTAAAATTCCAGGGGTCGTTGGATTTCCCCGTTAAAAAAAGTAGCAACCCAGAGGTTCCAGAAAGGGAAATGGAGGAAAACCTTGAAACTGGGCTGCCCGTTTTCAGATCCCCTGCGAAAAGTTGAACGTTTAGCGGGTTAAATTCGGAAACCACCACTAAACACTAAAAGGCTAAAAGCGAAGGCGATGGCTCCAAGTCACCTTGAAATACAGGGGTCATGGGATTTCCCCGTCAAAAGTTGCAACCTAATTACTGGCGGTTTCCATTGAACTGCCACTCTCTGAGGTTCCAGAAAGGGAAACGGAGGAAACGCTGAAAATACAGATTGAACTTGTTGGGCATGTTTCATGTCAACCCTGGGATTGATACTCCCCCTAGGTTCGTCCGGCCCGCTGCTAGCACTGTTTCCTAGGACAACCACCTCCCCCCACCCCCCCCCCCCACCCAAAAAAAAAGGAAGAAAACAAAAAGAAAGCCACCTTGAGCTGCCCTAGCCTCAAAACAACAAAGGGGGCATGACATTTTTGTTTAATCAAAACAACAAATCCCTGCAGCCGCACCCCGCAGGTGGCGGGAGCCAGGTGGAAGCATCCTATCGGTGAAGGCATGCTCAGTTCAAATAGCTCGGTCAGCATCTCTGGGATTCGCTTCTCGTCATATGCCGCGCACCGTACATTTCTTGTCATTCGTACGGCAAGGTCACATGAGGTACCCCAATTGAGTACTCACACCCCCAAAATAGTCTGCCTCTTAGATTAGTCAACGCCATCTGGGAACCCACTCTTGAGCTCCAGCAATACCAGACCAAAATGGAACCTCAAATCCAACAATACTATATAAACCGAACAAACACTTAACACAACATCACAAGGAAGCTCCAGCACTACTAAACCAAAGGGGAACTCATGAGGTCATGTTGCCCAATAAGGTAGGCTTGCCACATTCTTTCAAGGATCTTTGTTTAAAAATGGAGCGAAAATCTGACCGGGGGTGAATCCGAGGTTGCCATCAAGGTAGCTCCTTCAGAGTCAAATATTTCAAAATGTTTGGCTGACTACCTCCAACCTTGACTCATTAACCAGACGTTTATGTTGAGGTTCGGTATGTGCAACCGACCTGGATTTTCACTTAGACCGGGCCGGCCAGAAGATGAAGAAAGTCTTTCGAGCGGTTGGTTTCTTCCCTTCCGGGTTGCAGCAAGGGGAAATCCAAAGCCTGTCCATCCCGCCATGGTGGCACAAAAGGATCCCGAAAGTCAACTCACAAACGAGGCGCTTGATTCAAAGAAGCCCTGCCCACCCAGTTGTCGAGACATCTTGGAGGTTCCTGTGAATTGGATTTGGGCAACGTTGCTCTTGCAGACATATTGCTATCCCCCTTGCTTGCCCACGCCGCCGGCTTGTGAGTCTCAGGCGAAATATGGTTGAGCGGTTGTTTTCGCATGCGCCCTGTCGGAAAAATGACTAGAAGCAAACTGAAACCCCTCTCACCAGTGCTATCCTGCAGGTCCCAAAGTGAAACCAGTACCATCTATTTTCAACCAAAGTGAACCAATTGAGTCACAATCAAAACCTGGTACAAACATGGTGAACCCAGAACTATGATAAAGGATTAAGAAGGCGGATATCCGCAGCTATTTATGGCTGGGATTGTCCCTTGCTAAGCTTCATCTACCCGGGTTTTGATTGTTCCTCAATTGGACGCTTACCGCTGGCCTCCTCCCAGTTGAAGTATCCCCAAACGATAAACGAGGCGCTCTTTCCATGGCACGTGAGTGGCACATCTCGCACACGGGGGGCAAGTCTTCAAAGGACTGCCCGGAATCACCCTTGCGGAGTTTCTTGGGCTGAAATGGCCCTGGAAGTTTTTCAGAGCTCATCTGCTTCCCCTCCCGAACAAGGCACCATTCGGGTTCCTTCAGGTAGAGAACCGTTCCCCTCAGCCGTCCCGTCCATCGTCCCGTGAGGCCTGGAGGTCCTTCTTCGGGACGTTCCGCGCCCCTGAGGAGTGGTTCACAACCCGCGCCTCCGAAGAACGAAGCCGGAGGCAAAAGGCCACCGGAAATGCCCCCGATCGCCCCATAGGTGTCCTTTTAGTGGAAATAGATGGCCCTGGTAGATGATTAAACGACCAGGCAAACCAGGGCCATCTTTTTTTCGACCAAAACAACCAAAAAGGACACCTGTGGCCCGTTTTCCTCCCCAGGTCCAGAGATTCCTCCCGAAGGATTCCTAGATGTTCGTCTAGAAGTCGAAGGGCGTGTGGGAAACAAGAAACCTCTGGAAAAGCTGGGATTCGATCGATCGTTGCTCTCTGTCGCACTCTTGAAGCTTGTGCCCTGACCAGTTTCTGGAAATCTTCCAAGTGGGCTTGTTTGCTCGCCTGGTACGGCCATCTGCTCAAAATCTTGCATTCTCGAACGTCAAGACTCTTTGCGGTGTTCTTGAAAGATCGATTCAAGGCAGCACAGGTAAACTGAGCATCCAGGAAGAGGGGAGGCTGAAATCAACCACATATCTGGCCAGGTCACTCGAACCCCCTATTTGGAGAATTAGGAATCCCCAAGTAAAGTGGGTGAGCTCGATTGACCCCCAATCGGTGAGCTCAAGAAAGAATGTGCCCAGACATTCATCCTTTGAGAGCTCGGAAACTGGTGGTGGTTGTCCCCTCCGCGGTCGGCCTCTCCCCGCAGCTGCGCTCCTGGCATCAGGTCGCTTGGTTGGAGCATCCCGGGCCTCCGTTTGCCCCGGATCCCCCCTCGCAGGGAAGAAGCAAGTCCATGACAATTGTCCCATTGAAACCGAGCAGCACACATCTATCGCCTGCAACAAATGGCCGGAAACACAACTCCTTAATGTGAGAGCGTTGTCCCGGCCATGCAAAAAATAATCGATGCTTCAAAGCGCTAAAGCGCTCGGAATCCACTCCTGATCGAAGACTCTCCCAACTCTGGCCGTTGAATCCATGCAAAGACAACGTGCATCTCACAGGCTAAACGGGTGGGGGGGTTCGGAGCAGACTTGCAAAGATATGCATATATCTATATACACATTCATGTGCGTCTATATGTGTATGTATATATATATATGTACAGGTGTGCAGAATTATCGTTTCATTTACTTTATTCTTTTGTATGATCTTATATGTACATGTCTTTTAGTGTCCGCTTGCTTCGCTCTCAGTCACCTTTGTAAACCAGGTCATGTATCTAACGCCCAGCCAGGAGTCAGCCGTCCTTTCTCCAGGAGCGGAAAAAGCCTCGATCGGGACCACGGGGCATCCATGTGGCTGCGGGTCAACAAAAGCAACCCAAAATGGCTTGCCCTGGTAAAAAGAAACTAGGACAAAAACCTGCGCTCCCCTGGTGGGTTAACTTTGACCCATCCCCATGTACCAAGGGCCTGGACTCTTTGGAACCCACTTCCTGAAGCCGAGCAGAAAGTGCAGGCGAGAAGCTCCTTCGTCAACAGAAAGTGAGACAAGTGGTTCGTCTGCATCTGCACGTCATAGCCGTCGATAGTCGCCTGCCAGGGCCGTGGGGGCGTTCCGACGAACAATGGGCTTACGTCCAATGACGAGTCAGATTCGTCAATGATTCGCTTGTGCGCTACTGGAACTGATGCCCAGTTGCATCCCAGTTGCATCCCAGTTGCCACAGACGCTGGCGGCCGTTGTTGGGATTGATGCTTTTAAGTTGAGGAACCAAACAACAAGGGTTTTTCTCAGATGCCCAGTGGCCATGCAAAAGAAAGGGCATCCTTTTTGTGGTTGGTTGAGTTTAAAGGGGAACCCTTCCCAAAAAAAACGGAAAACGGGCGCCACTGGGCAACTGTGTGTTATACGGGCTCAGTGAACAGGAGTTGCACCGCCGAGGCTCTCAACCCGGCTCAGTGCGGAAGCCCAGTTTTGGGCGTGTCGTTTCAGAGGAGCCAAAATCCAAACTCCAGGTTGTCAAAGGTTGGTTTCCATTCAAACCCACCCGAAAAAGGGGCAGTCTCAAACACAAATAGACCTCCATTCGCATGTCTCATGCTGAGCCGAGGTTCCAGAAGAGTCCGCCAGCGGAGATGCAGAGCCAAATTTGGGATTTTGGAGATGTCTTCTTGCTAGCTCTTCTTCCCATAGCACTACTCAAGGGACACATGACTTTGGGTACTTCAAAAATAGCAACTTCGTTCTGTTGGCTGTCCTTGAACTAATTGGGCTTCACTGACAATTTCCATTAATCTGGAGTCGGTTGTAATGGCTGGATGCAATTTGCCAATGAATGCGAGAAAGAAGTGCCACCCCCGCATGCAAATGCAGAAGCAACCCAAGAAGAGGTCCCCACAAGGAGCTTTGAATGTTCGTCAGATATTTCTCACCACTCGCAAGCAAGCTGTGTGATGAGGAAATGATCCGGGGAAGGTATCCCATTTAGCATCGAGTGAGATTCACCGAGGTTGACCTCTAGGAAGCCCATCGAACCCTCGCCTTGTCTTCCAGCGCCATGACGCCGGCGTTGTTGCAGAGGACGTCAATGCCATCTCAGCCACTAAATCTGCGATCTCACTTGCCCACAGGAAGTGACATGCCAACAGTTAAGGCTCAATGCCCGACGCAAACAAGGGAAACACAAAAGGCCAAAAAGAGAAGGTGATGTTCCATTTGGATTGCCTTTTATTCTTCGAATCCGTGCAAAGGTCGATGCCCTTACCTGCTTCAGCGAAAAAGCCACACACAACGCGCCCATCCAAAAGCGAAGTATCATCTTTCAGATCGGGCCAACCCATCTATTTGGCACCCATAGAAGTGGGGTCTTCAGCTTAAACAGGGGAGCTGAACTTAGAACAACACGTGTTCCCCCCCAAAAAAAAAGAAAACAAAAAAGACAACAGAAAGGGACAACTGAAAGGTCCTTTGTGATGTTGGATCCCATACTAGGCCCTCCAGATTTGAGAGGTTAGAATAAGGGTACCAACTTTTTGTCTGTCGTCTATTCTAGTAGGGGAACCCTCCCAACCAAAAAATAAATGGTGAGAAAGGGCACTGGGGGACCTAGCTTAAAACATTATCCGCTGGCATCCGAGGTGCCATCCGCAAACATGCTCCGCAGGATCTGCGCGGCACCACGCACGCTCTCAAAGCTCTGCAGGTCGCAGTCTACGGCGGTGACCTGAGGGACCCAAACCCACCAAACCTGGAGCTGTGTTTGGGGCAGTGGTCGTGGGAGAAAGATCTGTGGGAGAAAGACCTGGTCTGTGTTTGGACCGTTTCCGGGTCTGCTTCTAAATGTCTGTGGGAAAAAGAAATGCACCTGCACGGATTCGAAATCAAAATTTGGCCTGGGAGCCACTGCGAAGGTTGTGGCAAAATGGACAAAATCTGTGGCTTACTTTCCCTGCCGCAGGGAAAACATGGCCCCACTTCGCCCAAGAATGGGCTAACAAAATGCGTCCATTTTTTGTACCGGAATCAGCCATGAGACGCGCAACACCCAGCCAGAAGGACCTGAATGTGCTTTGATTATCTTACCTGTACGTGGAACACGACCCTTTCGGAGACTTACAAAAAACAATTACCATGCTACTAATAAAAGTCCTGAAGATATCCCTTGCTCACGTGTCCCTTGAGGGGTTCAAACCCCACCACCAATCCCAACCACCAGATGTGTAGAGGCCAAATGGGAAACCGCCCAACCAACCAACCAACCAACCAACCAACCAACCAACCAACCAACCAACAAACCGACCAACCGACCAACCGACCAACCAAAAACCCAACCAACCAACCAACCAACAAACCGACCAACCGACCAACCAAACCGACCAACCGACCAACCAAAAACCCAACCAACCAACCAACCAACAAACCAACCGACCAACCGACCAACCAACAAACCGACCAACCGACCAACCAAACCGACCAACCGACCAACCAAAAACCCAACCAACCAACCAACCAACAAACCAACCGACCAACCGACCAACCAACCAACCAACCAACCAACCAACCAACCAACCAACAAACCGACCAACCGACCAACCGACCAACCAAAAACCCAACCAACCAACCAACCAACAAACCGACCAACCGACCAACCAAACCGACCAACCGACCAACCAAAAACCCAACCAACCAACCAACCAACAAACCAACCGACCAACCGACCAACCAACAAACCGACCAACCGACCAACCAAACCGACCAACCGACCAACCAAAAACCCAACCAACCAACCAACCAACCAACAAACCAACCGACCAACCGACCAACCAACCAACCAGAAAAAAACAATAAACGCTGGTAAAACAAGAGCAACAGCTCCGCCCACCACCCGCGCCCTTCAAACTCGATCCCGTCCGATCGCCTGACTGCCGGAAACCTCCTGCAGAAGCTTCTGCTCGGCGTCCTGGGCGTGGCACTCGATCCGAAGGTCCAAAGGGCACCAAAGCCAGATGGTTTTGGGATTGGGATGTTTGGGATGTTTTGGGATGTGTTGGGATGTTTTGGGATGTTTTAGGGTGTCTGAGGGTGCGTTTCTCCAAAAATCAACGGCCTAAAAATGGTTGGTCGCTGACCAGGGTCGCTTTAAGAATATCGGCCTAAAAAAAGGTTGTTCATCATATTGAAAGGATTCTATGTACACAAAAGGTTCATGGGCACAATTGCCAGTGGAAGTGCGTGGGGCGATACCAAGTGCGGTTCCAGGGCGCTGCCCAAGCTATGGAACTGGCCCTCTTGTACCTTCCGTTTTCGGGATGAAGGATATCGCCTTTTCTCGTTCGATCCTATGGAAAGCCGGCATTTGGCCGAGACAAGAGCCGCAAAAAAAGCGTGGACCTCCAGAAAGGGCTCCGACTCGTCAACGGGTAAAGCGTCAATCAAATGATTCGCTCGGAAGGCGGGGAGACTTTTTGGGGGCGATCATTTGGGGGAGGTGTTGGGTGGAGGGTGCGTTTCTCTCTAAAAAAAGTGGCCTAAACATGGTTGGTTGCTGGGGGCAGCTAAAGGAAAAGCAGAGCTTCCTGCCCTCGAGGATTTCCTTGCAACCATGGTCCCTCAAGCAGGCCCTCAAGGCTGTGGCTCCGAGTCTCATTTGGGCAGAAGGGCTGCAGGGCTGGTCAGCAAACAAGTCGCCTGTTCAAAATGAAACTAAAAACAACTCTTGCGCTAACAGCAGCTACATCAGCTCAGGTAGGTTTCTGAAGAGAAATCCTATCTCTCTTTTGTTGTTTCTCTCTCTCTCTCTCTCTCCTCGTGGCCGCCCTTGGGTGGAATTGGAATGTCGGTAGGCTGCGGTAGGCTTAATTGTTGATATCTACTTTCTTCTGACTAATCCGGAGGACCTCGCTCGTCAGAAATAGTTGGGGTCCTGGGAAGCAATTGTCTTAAAAAGACTTTCTGATTCCAGGTTGGTTTGCAAAGTCCCCAGCTCCTTCGCTCGCTCGCTCTTGCGGTTCAGCATCACCACATGCGCGCCTCTCTTTCTAAGGCTGACAGGCAAGGGACGGGGCGGGGCGGGGGGGGGGGGGGAGCGGCAAATGCGTGACCTGATTGATCTAACTTCTGGCTAAACACTGCAGGGCACAAACATCTACCAACACAATGTACATTGTGTTCGTTGTTCAAGCTCGCAACCCAAAGGTTGCCCCAAGGCGGGCGTCACTTACATGCCCCTAAGCTCTTTCGGGACCCCTTGTTTGGCCGAAAAACGACCGTGCTTGGATTTCTTTGGACTGGAAGCTACATGCGCGCGACAAACTGACAGGTGGCAACTGGCGCCATAGCGGCGCCAAGGTTAAGGCCGTAAGGCTAAGGTGGCCAATGGAGGTTGGTGAAACCTTCATGCCCTGTCGGTGTTCAACCAGGGTTTCAGGAATTCATGTAGAATCGCTTGTTCATAGCTTGCTGTCGGGGAAAACTATGGGAGTCATTAAAAGATGGGTGTACTGCAGGGCTGCTAGGCTCGAACCGCAGACCCTTGGCCAAATCAGTGCAGCTTGAAGATATCCGGCACATTCAAGGTCCCAACTGGCCCAAACGACTTAAGCTTCAAAGCCAATCCGCTTTTAAATGCAATATGAAAACGCCTATAGACCAACCAACTGATCAATCGATTGGCGCCGAAAACTCCGACCTGCCTTTACGCACAGCACTTCGGGCCGCGATGAAGCCAGCTGCTCAGGGTGGACGCGGATTTGTCTCCGGGCCCCGGGTGGATGAAGATTTTTATTTAAGCCATCATGTGCTTGCAAGGGTCCTCCCCGACCCGTCGGAAGATGTAAACAGCCCGCGAGGCTGTTTCGCGAGTTCCTCCAAGCGCTTCAAACTGTTGGTGCTTGCTTCCCTACCTTCTGCGGGAGGGGGTTGAGGGTTGGGCGTCCCCAATTCCAAGACCTACTCTTCCCACGAAAAGGGAACATGGAACCAGAAATGGAATTCCCCCCCCTCTCCCAATTCCCTTTTTCATGGGGTGAGGATGTGTGTGTTTTTCTTTTTGCCAGGCCCGGGAAAGTCACCAACCACTAAAGTTCAACAGCGCTGAACGGGCCCCTCAATGATTTAGCCCAACGTCAGGTGTTGAACCGAAATCTGGTATGATGGATCTTGGGCATTTGGCACCAGGAAAATACCGTGGCTCAATGGGGGGGGAGGGGGAACGGTTGTGCACGAGCTGTGCCCCAAACACACATTTGCATAGCTTGTGCTCAAAAAGGGCCAACTAGGGCTACCCAGCATGGCCAACATGTTATTTCCCAAAACCTGGCCAAAGAGTCAGAAGCTAGGCTTTGAGCTGGGCGCATACCCCTACTTGTTGGGGTCCCTGTCGAACTCTGGCAAGACACGTTGCTTGAACATTCCAGGAACCGAATGCCCAACCGCACGAAGCCCAACTTGCAAACCGACAAATGAAACACGGGCGTCACTGAACTGAACAATTGGGTCATGCATGATGCCCAAGCTCATCTTATCCCAGTAAGCTAGTGTGTAATTATCTTGCGCAAATCCTTGTGGCCAGCTTGCCAAACTGGACCTGGACCTCCTGACTTATCAGCTGAACAAGTATTGCTGAAGCGGGAGGCATGCCTGCCCTGCCGCAGCTCAGCTTGGGATAATCATGACCCCGATCAACCAAACTTTCCCGAACAGTGAAGGATTCCTTCGAATGGAACCCCCGACTCAGCCAGGCGGCGTTCTATCTCAGTCCATGGTTAACAAGAGTGATATATATATATATATATATCTGCGGGTCCCCCCCCCAAGGGCCTACCTTTCCTCTCTTCTGAATGTAGTATACATATTGTATATATATATATGTATATGTGCGAATATGTGATGCTCGGCCTGCAGCCGGCTTCGCCAACGGACAAGAAACAAACGGGCAAAGCAGACAAGAGAGCAGAAGAAACGGGTGCGGCCTGAAGAAACCGGCAGCTTTTGGGTACTCTTGACCCCATATTCATCAACCCCAGCTTAATTGCGAGGGTGTTCCCCTGCAGAAGTCGTCAGAAACAAGCCGCCAAACCCAGAAAAACACCCCGCTATTTAGAAAACTGGGGGGTGATTCATATGGGGTCAACATTAAGCCCCAGCCCGGCCGTGATGCGCCTGAGGTGCAGCCAGTGATGACGAAGACCTTTCCTAGCGCATCACTCCGACGGCGTGAGATGCTGAAATTGAGCGCGGCATGAGAAGAACGGTAGGTGCTTAAAAGCCCTTTCTTGGTTGGCAAGCGGGGGGGGGGCGACTCGACATCATTTCATCATGATGCGGAACCAGCAAGACACAGCCTGCAAATTGGATCGGTCTTTGTCCCGAAAAGGTTGTTGCCAAAAAATGTGGGGAGCTTTGATCGTGAAAGGTGCCGGCCAAGCTAAACCGAGATTTGCTCAATGAAGCCCAGGGAAAATTTGCAAGGAAACCGCCAGAATTAGGGCAAGACAGGCAACAGGAAACACCTACCTGACTGGGCCAATAGATGTGGGCCTCCACCTTGCGATTGGCTTGCTCCAAGGTCTCAGGTCTGCTTCACGGCTTCAGCTTCTTTGGTCTCTTTGGCAGACCCGGAACCAAGCTGACTGATGGGGCAATCATTTTGACATTGCACCTGCTCACATGCCTGGCCAGAAAAGGTGTTTCAATAAAAAGAAGAAGCTAAAATGAAGAAACCCAGATACAGCTTCCAGTTCTGCTGAAGTCTGCACGAGTTCAAGTCATGCCAAGCGCGCGCCTTGCAAGGATGGCATCTGGGCCTCGAAGTTTTGGAAGTGCTTCGAGGGGATCTTCCGCGGCTCCTCACGGCTTCCGCGGGTTCCGCCGTGGGTTCCAGCGCGGAGCTTTCGGCATTTCGCCCGAAGGGCCCGACAAATGAATCGAAGGGCAGGGCTCCCCTTTTCAGGCATGTTGAAAATGGGCATGGGCTTGCCATGGCAGGTCTGGGAGGCCCAGGAGCTGACCAAAACTGGCCAAACACCTGGCTTTCGGAACTTGGTGCAGTTAAAAACATAGAATGCATCTTTCTATCTGTACAACTTGGGAAGTGATACCAACGTCTGGGACTGTAAATTACAGGAACACAGTTCATGTGTTGAGCGCCAAGCCTTGCGACAACACAAATCTGAATGACCTGAGGACATTCAACCATGTCCCAGGACGAATTCTGATTCCAGGGCGTCATGCAATATGCCTCATCTAGATCTGAGAGGGCGTGCCGTTGCGATCCATTGTGCACTCCCCTATTTGTGTTTAAAAAAGAAGGCAAGATCGAGAAACCTGAATCACAACAGCAAAGCCCTGCGCAAAGCAAAGGATATCGAGTCAAGATATTTCATGGGTGCAGCCGCTCGTCCGCCCAGTAAAAGCGAACCGAGCTAGATTACTTCTGGCTTTCACGGGACGTAGGGACGCATAGGGACCACTTCAGATTCAGACATAGGCGGGTCCTCTGCGTATGTCTTGAAATGGGGGGAATCAGCAAACATGGGTGGTTGCCTCCTGAGGACCATCCCGAAAGGGTGCACCTGTTTTACGTTTTCAGACACCTCCACAGGTTGGTACCCTTGCTTGTGTACGCTCGTCTCGTCCTTGTATGCACTGCTTCCACAACCCATGGCTCAAGATCTCCCGCGCAGGAATTTGCCTTTAGCCAAGCCAACCTGGCAGCACGAAAAGAACGGATGAAGCAAGCTGTCGGATTAGATGTGAACGCGGGTGCAGGGTCAGACCCTGACACGAGGCTGAGCAAAATACTTCTGGGGCCGGGGAAGTACGAATTGCGGCGGCGTTCCACCTCACGCACCCAGCACTCGTGAACCCCCCTCACTCTGAGTGAAAGGCTCCATGAGTAGCTCTCAAATGGGGGAAGCGTCCCCAATCATACCCAGTGACAAATGAGAATCTTGGCACTCACTGCTGGCCGAAAAAGACTGTGCAACAGGCAACGCCAACTGGGTCAGCGGGCCAACTGGGTCTGCACATGTGGAAACGGATGTGCTGAGAGACATGGCAGCAAAACACCTTTCAGACGACGACTAAACACTGCATGGGGAAGTTAGTGCAGAACAGGGTTGGCTGCCTGAGCTGAACAAGTGTCGTCCTTCCATGGCCCCACCTTTTCGTGCAGCACGCCCAGCTCGAGCCCTAGAGCCCTAGAGCCGTGACGCCCGGACGCGAAGCTCAGTCCAACGCAGCCGATGGCACGGACATGGGACCAAACTTGGCCCAACCAGGACCCGAAGCCCAGGACGGATGTTTGGTGCCGGGTGCCGTGTCACCAGCATCCCTAAACCACTAGGTGCGGCACCAAGCACACCCTCAACCCGAAGCCAACCCTCAACGAACCTGAACCAATCCTAACTTGAGCAGAAGGAAGCCTAAACTCAACCACAGAGCCAGACGGGCTTGGGGGGCGCCTGCATGACCTATGACCATGGGTGGAGTGGCGTCGCGCCATGTTTTGCATACCTCAATGTGGTAGATGGCAAAGACGTAAGTCATATCCTGCGGTGACCCAGCCTGTTAGTTCTTTTGAAGGGCTCTTCTGGTTCATTCAGAACCTCAGCTTTTGCGAGCTTTTGCACCCCAACCTACAATAAGTGTGTCTTTGATTGTGGCCCATATTTTAGTTGTCACATGTTGGCAACCAAAATGCTAGTTTTGAAGGTGGCTGCAGGGAATCTCAAGTGAAGCCACTTATGACGACACCGGGTCCTCGGGCCCATGTACGCATAGGCACATGTCCATGCTCGGAGGGTAACCAATGCGCAAAGAGGCAACCAGTTGCCGGGTCACCGCAGGATATGATTTTTACGTCTTTGCAATTCATCTACCACATTGAGGTATGCAACACATGGCGCGACGCCACCCCCCGGCCCCCCACACAACACCCATGGTCATAGGTCATGCAGGAAAGAGGCAACGCCCTCGCTTCCCAACCCCCTGAACCTGGGTGACTGGGCGAGCCAAACAATTGTTTTATGACCCTGCTTCACATTATTCGACGCTATACAAAGAGCTTTGGATGGGGCCCCAAGTGAAGTCTGGCATTTCTGTGGCCCAAACGCGGACTTGCAACAGAAAGCTCTCATCTTGGTTGCTTTCAAGCCTTCTCCTGTAGAATCTGGGGCCGCATTCTGTGTCACCGTCATGTCTGTGCCATGGCTGCCAGCACTCAAGGCGAAGGCACTCGCGGGGCTGAAGCACCCGCGCGTGTGCCGGGCTTTACAGATGGCTCGCCAGACTGGGAGGGACCTGTTGGCCTCTGGCAACTCCTTGACTCACTTCCGATCGAGTGGATGGCCCAAAGAAAACAACGAATTGTTTGTCCACTAAAATGGCTCAGCCCCAAAAAGCATAACAAACAAATCCATGAACTCCAACCCCTAACAACCCCCAAATAGGAATTCCAACCAACAAGGAAACTGGTGTCCCAGTCCGTGCGGCCACGAGCCGCCTGCACTTGGGCGGTTTTCCCCCAGGTGTCTGGGCGGGCTTCGTCGCTCGGCGCCGGAGAGTTGCCGATGTGAAGGGCCGAACTTATAGAATTGGGGGTGTGGGAAAATTTGTGTGGGGAGGGGGTACTGATGCTTTAAAGCCAAATCCCGATTGTATTTTCCGAGCCCTTTGTATTTATGTCATGCCAAGAAAGTGTGTGGATGGGCGAAAATGTCAAAACGCTTTCTGTTCCCAACAGGAAACTCCGCCTGAGTTGGCCAGGCGTCCTCAACTAAACGGAAGGATGAACATTCTGCCTGCAACTTTGAGCTCCGTCCACGTCCGACAATGGTGTAGATAGGCATGATAGGCCCAAAAAGCCTGGAACCCCGCTTGGACCAATGAAACAGCAGGACTGCCAACGTAACAAACTACAACGATGCTTGGGCAGCCTTCCAAACGGGCCTTCCAGAATCGAGATAAGTGCCATTTTCCAGCAACCTATAACTCATGGTTTGGCTAGTTGCAGAATGTATAAGTCGTATCTCAAGCCGCATGCCGAAATAACTTGTCCCAGGTTCATGTGGGTTTGCAGGTTTGCGGGGTCCCTAGTTGCAACCTGTAGGCGTTGAAGGGTGGAACAGCTAGGTTTCAAGCATTATGGTCTTAAATCCTGAGCACGGCACCCATTTTAGGGCTGTAACTTCATGCCGGCTGCATCCCAGGTTGACGTTGGAAGGGGAGCAAAACAAATAGCAGTTAAGTGGGGATTTCCCGCTAAACCACAAGCAAGAATGTAAAATGTTGCCCAACAACAACCATGCATCCCCCGTACCCGACTGCCGACTGCAAATCGAATCGCTGGCCGAGGGTTCGAGGAGCTTCGCCTCCAACCCCAGGTGCTGGCAACGTGGACGCCCGGCCCAGCTGTGGGGTTTTAGGGTGTTTTGGCACCACGCCTCGCCGAAAAGGCTGACCCCAAAGAGAAAAAATGATACAGTGATTGAAGTGCGGACTCAAGCTAACTTTCTTCGCTTCCTTGCGCATTGCTGACAGCCTAGGGTTGAACTCCATGGGCCGGACATCCAGGTAGCCACCAAAAATGTACCAAAACTGTGATCAGCACAGTTGCTGCACTCGGCTCGGCTCAGCTGGAACTCGGTTCTTCGGCTGACTGGTGCAATACCATATCGCTCGCCAGTCGCGTGCGCCCCAAAAACAAACCCATGAGCGCCGTTTGGCGCGAGCCGTGATGCTCCAGGAAACAAAACAAGTGTGCCCCCAGGCCCCCAGCCCCCCAGATTGGCTTCGATTTCGAGCTTCGCCCGGAACCGGCCGTCGGAGTTGGCCGGGGGCCTTGGAGATCGGAGGTCAGATCTCAGATCTTCCACTCGCCGCAGGCCTTCTCACTCTCCTCCCAGAGCATCTTCCTGGAATCCTCCTGGTTGGCCAAACGGGCACCAAAGTGGCCATGGCCCGACTCCCTCGCCCAAATGGCACTCACACTTTCAGCAGTGATCCGTCTGGCGGTTTGTGGCCAGTCCTTTCAGGGCAACTGAGCCACTGCACTTGCCGAAGGGAACTCAATCAGGATCCCAAAAAAATAGCACCTCCCCAGTTCCAGAATGAATGCCTGGAGCCGATCATCAACACGTCCCCAGATCTGCCCGGCCAAGTTTGGCCTTGAGGCAAATCTTGTCCAGCACAAACTTCTTGGGCGGCCCTGTCCAGCGGTTGTTCCTCGGCAGGGCCACAATTTGGCCCCAAACTTAACCTGGTGTGGGGAGCTAGGCTGCTTGGCGCTTGACGTTCGGCCACAGCAACAAGACAGCTGTGGCAAAATCATGAGCCTTGTCCGCATGCCGTGCACAGAGCACTGGACATGCTATTGGGATGTCAGGACTACCGCGAGCAAAAGCAATCGTGCGCAAAAAACTGCTCGGCATCGGTACTGTCTGTGAGCACTCAAAGCAACGCATGCTGGAAAAAAAACATGCGACGAGCAAAGACACGCAAAGACGACCCTTGTGCGTGCCAGCCAGGAAAGAAATACGTCGGGCGTTGATGGCAACGGCTTACACGCTTTGCCTTCCAAAGGCGTAACTCGCCAAAGAGACGGCCCCTACTGGTTTTTTAACGATTTGCCCTAGCTCTGAACATTACGGAAGAACTCCCCAGGCAAGAACATGTCGTAGAGAGTGGTCGTTTTGGACGCCGATTCCGCTCTTATTGACTCACTTGCCCGCTGACCGCTTGAGCTTTTGATTTTGGTTCCCGCGTGCACGTCGTTTTGCAATGGTTTCCAGGTCAGTTCCTCTGGTGAGTCTTTTGGGATACCATCGTCTTAAAAGGGCCTGTATTATCAATGACGCTCAAGCAAAGGTACCTGCTCAAGCAATTTGAAAACATGTTGATAGGTGGTAACCATCAGCTCCTAAACCGCGAGTCAACCAACCACAAATTCCAGCGGTTTGCCGGGCGTCCCTTGTCCCTGACATCAAACAACCCCCCGGTTCTTTCCTGAGATGCAGCTGGAGAACATAATTCCCCGGTAATGCGGATGGCAGAATGAAACAAAGCCAGGTGAGAGCGGAGACTTGCATACCCCCGACATATTTTACAGAGGCACGATGGGCAAAGCTGAGACTCACAGTATTGCTCATAAAAGGGGTATGTAAGGGGTAATTATGCAAGTGGGACAAACCAAGGGTCCATTCACAAAGGCCCAATTTGTTTAGCCTAGAGACAAGTTGGCCAAGATGGTTGCCTATGAACCCTTTGCTGCCTTCGCTAGATTCGCATGAACCCAGCGGCCCGCAGTCTCTGGAAAGAAAGGGTGACAAAGCCTCATTGGAATTTCCGGATGCGCAACTCTGACCACAAATGCCCCACAATACCAGAAAAATCAAGCCTGACCGCCTGCGATTAATCGAGCTCAAAGTGCTACTTAAGCAAACAAACTTAGCGAGTTCTAGTAGTTTCCTTCAAAACTAGATGAGCATTTCACATCACCTTTGGCAAATGCAATAAGCATCATGCTTGCTCTTCAGGCTCGTCAAAGGGGCGGTTGGATCCGCGTTCCGTCCATTACTTAACGCGGGGAACCCGTTTACGGCTTTCGGATCAATCACTCCAATCGCCCCAGCCAGATTGGAGAAAGCCCAAAATGAAAACAGAAAACTCAAGTAGCGGGAGCCCCATTCCAAGGCTTGCGACATATGCGGCAAAAGATGAGCGAAACTCTTCGGGCCATGGCTATGGTGTCCAACACTCCAAAGGCTCACGGGAAATTGGCTGTTGCAACCATGGCATGCCACGGCCAAAACTCGTTGAAACCGACCTATATAAAATTGTTTTGGCTTATGTTTCTTGTTTTTTCTCGCCGAGTGGTAACCTGGTAGAATTACCATGGTTACAAACCCACGGTTTCAACCCTCCAGTCGGTTCCAAACCATCCGCTGAAAGCTGCTGAGAGCGCCGGGGCTCGGCTCAAAGAAGTCCCCGGACTCCAAGCCTGCGACGAGCTTCGCGCAATCTCACAGGTCTGGGCGCCTATTCTCCAACCAGAAGTCTCATGATTGACCCTCTTGGTGCGAGAGATGCAAAGTGGAATGACACTGACAAAATCCGCCAACAACAGACGGCGTGTTGGACATAAGAAATGCTCCTTACCTCTTTACCTGTTACCCCTCCCCTAACCCCTCCCCAGGGGCAGCATTTCAGACTTTGCGCAACCCAGTTTGTCAAAAACATTGGGGTGTTCGATTCCTACCAGGTGCTCTTTCAGCGGCACATCGCCAGCATCACCTGCACCATCCGCATCAGCACCTGCAGACGATGCAAGTGATGCTGGGGATGTTGCCCATGCTGGTGAAGGAAATGAAGGGGGGAAAGGGGGAAAGGATCGAAAGGGGGGGAAAGATCTCAGTGAGGAAAGGGAGAAGATCCCAGGCAGGGAAAAGGCCTTAGGGGGGAAAGGGGGGCAAGGATCTCAACAGGGAAAGGGGGCAAAGGATCTTAGGGAGGAAAAGGGAGAAGATCTGAAAAGGCCTTAGGGGGAAAAGGGGGAAAGGAGCTCAACAGGGAAAGGTGGGAGAGGATCCTAGGGAGGAAAAGGGAGAAGATCTTGGGGGGAAAGGGGGAAAGGATCTCAACCAAGGGAAAAGATCTTGGGGAGGACAAGGGAGAAGATCTCAGGGGGGGAAAGGCCTTAGGGGGGAAAGAGGGGAAAGGACCTCAACAGGGAAAGGGGGCAAAGGATCTTAGGGAGGAAAAGGGAGAAGATCTTGGGGGGGAAAACGCCTTAGGGGGGAAAGGGCGGGAAAGGATCTCAACAAGGAAAGGGGGGAAAAGATCTTAGGAAGGAAAAGGGGGAAGATCGCGGGGGGAAAAAAGGCCTTAGGGGGGAAAGGAGGGAAAGGATCTCAACAGGGAGAGGGGGGAAAACATCGTAGGGAGGAAAAGGGAAAAACTCAGAGGGAGAAAGGGCCTTAGGGGGGAAAGGGGGAATGGATCTCAACAGGGAAAGGTGGCAAAAGATCTTAGGGAGGAAAAGGGAGAAGATCTCAGGGGGGGAAAGGCCTTAGGGGGGAAAGGGGGGAAAGGATCTGAGCAGGGAAAGGGGGGGAAAGATCTTAGGGAGGAAAGGGAGAAGATCTGGGGGCAAAGGCCGTAGGGGGGAAAGGGGAGAAATGATCTCAACAGGGAAAGGGGTGGAAAAGATCTTAAGGAGGAAAGGGAGAAGATCTGGGGGAAAAAAGGCCAACAGGGAAAGGGGGGAAAGATCTAAGGAAGGAAAAGGGAGAAGCTCTCGGGGGGGGGGAAAGGCCTGAGGGGGGAAAGGGTGGGAAGGATCTCAACAGGGAAAGGGAGGAAACAATCTTAGGAAGGAAAAGGGAGAAGATCTGGAAAGGCCTTAAAGGGAAGGGGGGAAAGGATCTCAACAGGGAAAGGGGGCAAAGGATCTTAAGGAGGAATAGGGAGAAGATCTCAGCGGGGGGAAAGGCCGTAGGGGGGAAAGGGGGGAAAGGATCTCAACAGGGAAAGGGGGGGAAAGATCTCAGGGAGGAAAGGAAAAAGATCCCAGGGAGGAAAAGGCCGTAGGGGGGAAAGTGGGGGAAAGGGAGGAAAAGGGAGAAGATCTCAGGGGGGAAAAGGCCTTAGGGGGGAAAGGGGGAAAGGATCTCAACAGGGAGAGGGGGGAAAACATCTTAGGGAGGAAAAGGGAAAAATCAGAGGGAGAAAAGGCCTTAGGGCGGAAAGGGGGAATGGATCTCAACAAAGAAAGGGGGGCAAAAATCTCAGAGGGGAAGGGGGCAAGGGGACAATTCCAAAGGGACGCAAATAAGAAAGCAGGCCTGTAATGTCGGCGGCCTGAGCCGGAGGCACTAAAATACGAATTTCCAACTGGTGGTTTTCTTCAAGTTGGAACCCCTGGATGCGTTCCATTCCTGACTGAGCACCCAGGATTAACCCTACGCGTTGATACCGATTGGCAGTACATGGCAAGCCCTAGGGGGCGCAACCATAGGACCCCTCTCGCAACCAATCAACCAGAAAAAAAAGGAGTTTTCCCCTCCCAAAAGTCCACAAGCTTGCGCAACCTGGGGATAACAATTGGGACCCACCTTTTCAGTTGTTTAAATAGGTCCTCCAGTAGAGAGAATAAGGGTACCCTTGTTTCGGTAGTCTATTTTAGTAGGGGAACCCTCCCCCAAAAAAAGTCTAAAAGGGCACTACTGGGGGACTTAGCTAAATAGTGTTAAAGGAACGCCCTCCCAAAAACCGAGTTGCACACCGGGGAAAGACGGGGCACTGCCGGTCACGCTTCGAAACTTCGATTCGCCTGCGGCAAGGCAGCAGTGCAGCAAGGGCATGGTGCCGTCCTCCCCACTCTGCGCCCAGCGCATGACCCAGGTCTCGCGCATGCCGCCGGACTGGTTCGTGGTCACCTGAAACGCTTGGTAAGCGAAGGGGTTCACGATTCTTTGCGTTTCTTTCCGGGGGGGGAGGGGGGTGGGGGGGAGGGCCCATGGCTCAAGGGGAAGGGGGGAAGGTATGATGCATGTTGCGACCATCTTCCCTGTTGCTGTTTGTCGGTTTGGGCCTGCAAGCTAATCTCCACGTATCTTTGGCACGGGGTGAAACCACAGGACCCCCACTCTGGCACCGAGAGCGGCGGTGCTCTGGACATGACCCAAAAGGTTCAAAGTCCAGGAATTCAGGAAGTGAGATCAAGCATGGGCAGGAAAGCAAATATTCTCTTCCAAACTGCGGGAAACAGTGGTAGCATGGAGGTGTGGGGCAAAACTTGCAACATGTAAATAAGGAAGCCACGGAACTTTCAGTCCGCAATCTTTGACATTGTCTGACATGCCGGGACTGAAGTCCAAAACCCTTTGCAGCCATTCTGCTTTCAATTTGATCGCTGGTTTTGCAGCAGAAAATCCTAGAAGTACCTTCCGGGTCTGGACCCGGCCTTTTGCTTTTTCTCCCGTACCCAGGTAAGGAGATCATAAGGTCTGGAGACACAAAGGACCGCTCCTGCAACTTCCCTTTGGTGAGGTCAAAGCCAAGTTGGGCTAAGCTGTTGCGTGACCTGAGGCATCCTCTAAATGGAGGCTTGCTGAGGGGGTTGAAGAGAAAATGAATGGAACTCGGGGGGCCGGGTCCAATTCCCAGAAGCTAGGCCCCTTCCCAAAAGAACCAAACTCGGGCCGCGCAATGAGCTGTAAGGTTCAAGGGTCAGCATCTCTTCAGAAGGCGGCTGCGCCGCGCCCATTTCTCGTTGGGATTGTCCCTTGCTACCCTCCAATTACCCGGATTTTGATCGTGGCTCATCTGAAGGTCCAGAGGTCCCCACCGATCTCGTGCGACTCTCGGCCCCCCAAACGAAGCCTGCAGATTGGTGGATGCCAGGCCGGGCGCGCAGCAGAGGGATTTGACCTCCGGCTTCGGGTGTTTTGGGGTGGGGTGGCCTCCCTTTTGCAAGGGGGTCTCAGGGAAACCCCGGCCATCTTGGGCTGTGAAAGGATCGGACATTGCGCATTTGTGCCAGAGGACCTTGTTGAACATTCTGGCCCACCCGAAAACAGCGAGCTTGTTGTTCGGCAAAACTCAGCCAAAAGGATTCCTATGATATGAGGCTTGCCTTTTCATGTAGACCCCTGACCCCTGCTTCGGAACCAAGACCGGCCCCCAAACCGCCCAATCCAATCAGCTTCATGTTGCAGCGTCCAAGTCGGAATGACAGTTCATACTGTGGATGGGCGAAAGCCCGCACCATTTGAGACACCCTGGAATATTGATTCCAACGACAATGGTGTTTCCCCTAGATTCAAAGTGGTGCAGGATTGTTCATCCACAGCATTTGTGTCCAGCAAAAATCGTCTGCTCAGGGTTCCAGAGCCAGGAGTTTACGCGTTGCCCGTGCGGAACCTGTCAGAATACTATGCATGAGGCGCACATGTGCGCATACTACACCCAAAGAGAAGGCTCCTGCTCGAAACCGCTGCGGTGCTTCAATTTACGCGGTCTCTTGAACAGGTTGGGTGTGTCCTGGGTGAGGGTGCCCCCTTTTTGCTTCCCTTCAAAGCGTTCTTGAAGCGGAAACCATGCTCCCGCCTGGGGATGCTTTGCTTCCTGGAGTGCCCAAAGCATCACAACAACACACCCCCAAGGACAAAAGGAGGTTCCTGAGAGTTCTCACTTGCTGAGTGGATGGCCCAAAAACGTCCAAAGTATATATTGACCACTAAAATTGTCTTCCCAAAAAGTTTAAAGTTCATGAACTCAGGAAGTGAGAACACTTAGTTCCTTAAGATTTAAGGGGCACCCACGGAACGCCTCCCAAGCGCGACGACTCCCGCCGTGCCTTGCTTTTGGCGGCCCTGAGCTTTTCATCCAACCTGACAGTTCTTGTCGCCCCTGTGGATGGGCGAAACCATTTTCGGACCACCAGAGAAACCCTGGCATCATGATTCCCCTGTAAATGCCAACAAAAACAATGGTTTCATGGGCTTCAGATTGGTGCGGGATGTCGTCCATCCACGTGGGGAAACCACTTCATCCGAGGGTTTTCCCTTTGTGGCAAGCTGGACTGTCTGGGCTCCAAATGGAAAACAGGCCATAGAGTTCTGCTTGTGTCCAGGTCCGGCAATTCTGAGCAGCTGCAGGTGCAGGCAGCCAGAAACATCCACCCAGAAATAGTTCGGGCCGCGCTTTGCCCAAAAAGAGTTCAACCGTCAACAGTTTTGGCCTGCACGGGCAGACATTAGCAAAGAAAACAATGCAAGAAAACAAAGCTCAAAGCGTTTGAAGACAGGGTGACGCAACTTTGGGGGTATGTTTCGTGTGCGCTTGTCATTTAGGCCATGCGATCGTTTCGTCGAAAGCGTGTTCAGCGTGTCCAGCGTGGCCGAGCGCCCTTCCTTACCTAAATTTCTGCCAGCCCAAGCATATTGCAAGACCAGGGTCGTCACCAATAAATGACCGTAATTTCCATCTTCGAGCTTTCTTCCCAAGACCAGGCTGAGCGGTCCTCCATGATCGGTCACTGAAAGGAGCGAGCAGAAATCGAAAGCGCAAATATCCGCAAACGAGCGCATTGTTTAAAGAAACGCAACAATTGCTCGCCTTCCTCCGGACGTAAGAAGGGTATTTGGTCGAGCGCTTTTTTGGGGGTCGAGCAGAAGTCGAAAACTCGAGCGACTTTTTACCGTGCCTAGAAATGAGGCACGTTGGGTGCTTCAGGAAAGAACGGTAGTTTAAAAAGCTTTTCTGCAGCATCTGAACTAAATGAGGTTGCTTTCTGAGAAAATCACCGCGAAGCACTTGAGAAGGCTACAGCTAAAGCTGGGGACTAGAAGTGCACAGCATGTCCCTGTGCGTGAATTTGGCTCTTCCAAGTGTGTGCGAACATGTGCGAACCACCTCGGTTGCGACGCCTGATGGAGCTTCGTTCGGAACGGTCCCGCAGACGGGGCCCATTGGCACGCCGGCCCGCTGCTTTGGCATCAAGTTGTGAACCCTCTGCGGACTGCGGGTCGACTTCCAAAAACTCACTGTTTGTTTCACGTAGTTCACTCTCGTAGGGTCGGGAGAGAGAGAGAGAGAGAGAGAGAGAGAGAGAGAGGGAGACTCTCAGAGAGACAGAGAGGGAGAGAGAGAGAGAGGGAGACTCTCAGAGAGACAGAGAGGGAGAGAGAGAGAGAGAGAAGCATGGAAAGAAAGAAAGCAACAAAGCAAGAAAGCAAGAAAGCAAGAAAGCAAGAAAGCAAGAAAGAAAGAAAGAAAGACAGAAAGAGGCAGAGGAAGATGAAAATAGAGAGCAAGACAAAGAGGGGAAGGAGAAGGAGAAGAAAAAGGAGAAGAAAAAGGAGAAGGAGGAAGAGAACCAGGAAAGAGAAAGCGAAAGAGGAACGAGAAAAAGGGGGTTAGCTGCAAACAAGCCTTGCTTTTCGAGCGCAATTTGGGAAGGGGGCCCGTTCTTTCCCAAACGAACTCAAAGGGGGCGCGTCTTTTTGAAGGGTACCCTCCCACCAGCTCTGTAGAAAGACTGCGCTCCTCTTGGAAAGGGCGTTTTTGCACTTCCAAGTTAGTTGGTCGGAGGGTACATCCATTTTATGCCTCCCCAATTTAGAGACACACCCAGCAAGCCCTTCCAATAGGCCGCGCTGCGCCACAGAGAACACGGCATTCGCCAGCTTGGTCTGATGGTACCTCACGGTGATCGGGAATGCTGGGCGGTCATGGTTGGTCTGGAAAACGAAGGTAAAACCCTGGCGGTTTCCGTTCGGGGGAAGATGAACTGACAAGTGCTGGCCATCTATTCTAAGATTTCAGGGCCTCAAATACATCCACTTGCGGGCCCAAAAGCAAGTTCCCCAAACTGTCTGGCTGTGATCAGACTCGATCTGCATAAAGCAAATGTCAATGTCAATTTCCAGATTGGAAACTCCAATAAGCAAAACAAGCACTTGTACGGGGGATTTCGCTCGTTTCACGCACCGGTCGCTTAGATGACGCTTGCCTTGCTGCCAAAGGGCCGCTGCCAACGTGCGCCCATCCGGATCATGGAGGCGCCGTTGCCCCCCAGGTTGCCACCATTCTTGCCCAAGTACTTGGCCTGCGAACAAAACACTGTGTGTGTTTGTTTGTCTCTTGTTGTCTCTTTGTGCTTTGTTTTTGGTGTGCGTGTGTGTGTTTGTTTATCTCTTGTTGTCTCTTTGTGCTTTGTTTTTGGTGTGTGTGTGTGTGTGTGTCTGTGTCTGTGTCTGTGTGTCTGTGTGTCTGTGTGTCTGTGTGTCCGTGTGTGTGTGTGTGTGTATGTGTGTGTGTCTGTGTGTGTGTCTGTGTGTGTGTGTGTCTGTGTGTGTGTCTGTGTGTGTGTGTCTGTGGGTGTGTCTGTGTGTGTGTGTCTGTGTGTGTGTGTGTGTCTGTGTGTGTGTCTGTGTGTGTGTGTGTCTGTGTGTGTGTGTGTCTGTGTGTGTGTGTGTGTGTCTGTGTGTGTCTGTGTGTGTGTGTGTCTGTGTGTGTGTGTCTGTGTGTGTGTGTGTGTGTGTGTCTGTATGTGTGTGTCTGTGTGTGTGTGTGTGTCTGTGTGTGTGTGTGTGTCTGTGTGTGTGTCTGTGTGTGTGTGTGTGTGTCTGTGTGCGTGTCTGTGTGTGTGTGTGTGTGTCTGTGTGTGTGTCTGTGTGTGTGTGTGTGTGTCTGTGTGTGTGTGTCTGTGTGTGTGTCTGTGTGTGTGTCTGTGTGTGTGTGTGTGTGTGTGTGTGTGTGTGTGTGTGTGTGTGTGTGTGTGTGTGTGTGTGTGTGTGTGTGTGTGTGTGTGTGTGTGTGAGTGTGTGTGTGTGTGAGTCTGTGTGTGTGTGTGTGTGTGTGTGTGTGTGTGTGTGTGTGTGTGTGTGTGTGTGTGTGTGTGTGTGTGTGTGTGTGTGTGTGTGTGTGTGTGTGTGTGTGTGTGTGTGTGTGTGTGTGTGTGTGTGTGTGTGTGTGTGTGTGTGTGGGTGTTGTGTGTGTGTGTGTGTGTGTGTGTGTGTGTGTGTGTGTGTGTGTGTGTGTGTGTGTGTGTGTGTGTGTGTGTGTGTGTGTGTGTGTGTGTGT